TAATAGAACAGAGTATTACTACGCTCGGCCATACAATAGAGCGGAAAACTAATGTAAGGGACCTGGGAGTAGTAATGTCTGAGGATCTCACTTTCAAGGATCACAACAGTGCCACGATCGCACGTGCAAAGAAAATGATAGGGTGGATAATGAGAACTTTCAAAACGAGAGATGCCAAGCCCATGATGATCCTTTTCAAATCACTTATTCTCTCTAGACTGGAATACTGCTGTACATCTCCATTCAAAGCAGGTGAAATCGCAGATCTAGAGAGTGTACAGAGATCCTTTACTGCACGTATAAGTTCTGTCAAGCACCTTAACTACTGGGAACGCTTGGAAGCACTTGACTTGTACTCGTTGGAACGCAGGAGGGAGAGATATATCATAATCTACACTTGGAAAATCTTGGAAGGAATGGTCCCAAATCTGCACACAGAAATCACTCCCTACGAAAGTAAAAGACTGGGCAGGCGATGCAAAATGCCCCAATAAAAGTAGGGGCGCCATTGGTACACTAAGGGAAAACACCATAAGTGTCCGGGGCCCAAAACTGTTTAACAGCCTCCCATCAAGCATTAGGGGAATTGCCAATAAACCCCTGGCTGCCTTCAAGAGAGAGCTGGACAGATACCTAAAGTCAGTGCCGGATCAGCCGGGCTGTGGCTCGTACGTTGGACTGCGTGCGGCCAGCAGTAACAGCCTAGTTGATCAGGCCCTGATCCATCGGGAGGCCTGGTCATGGACCGGGCCGCGGGGGCGTTGATCCCCGGAATAACCTCCAGGTAACCTCCCCCGGAATAACCTCCAGGTAACCCCCCCCCCCAAAAAAAAAGGTTGGTCATAAATCTACCAGAGGACATTTGTCTACCACACTAAACCGTAGCCAACCTTCATGTCTCTCGGTCAAAATATTCCCCACAGGAATTCACCTGTCTCGACCCATCAATAGGATTCATTGCCGAATAAATACGCGTGCCAGACTTAGTGCTCTTTAAATTCAGTCTACACAAATTAATTTATTCAGATCATTGCTCGTATATAATAAAAAATATATGCAATATGTGAAGCCCATCTTATGTTTAAGTTCTGAATGCATAAATAACTGGGCATTTACAGAATATATACATGTACATATTTAACAGATATAACAAATTAAACAAAAGTATCTTAATGCTCATTGAAGATGCAAGAATGTGAAAGGGACGTGACGGAACATTCATTACTGTGGTTATTTGCAGAGCATTATTTTACAGATGTTGAATGTATGCGAGACCATAGAAGCGAGAGGGGCCACAAGACGTGGTAAGCCCCGCTGCAGTCCTGACGCCACTGAGTTGTCCAAACTTTTATCCCTCAGGAATGTTGATGTTGCCTTCAGCGCCTGCGTGGTGCCGCGCGCACCTCACGCCTCCCGTGGCCTCTCACGCAACAAGTTTGTCCTCACGTAATCATTCTCCACTTCTTAAACCCCTTAAAAATAAATCCCGATAAACAACACACCTCTTAGTATTACAACTAATAAATTAAATTTTAGGTTATGAGAATACCAGCCGTTTACCTTAAACTGCTCTAAACTTTTGAGTAATCCTTTCCCGCCAAAACTTAGGCAACCCCGTCGCCTACGCAAGTTTCAACATGTTGCCAGTTAGTCACTTTTTGTCGCATTCTTTTACAAAAAAAATCAGAGGTGATGTTACGTTAAAAAATATTTACATTAAACTAAACGATAAACTTGCATTATGTAACTAACTGCTGCTTTTAAATATTTCAGAAGGCGAAAAATATAAAAATATTGGCTTGGCAATATAGAATCTTTGCAACTCTTTGACCGGCATACCACCACGTGTTATGTGGTAAAAATCTAACCCTACTTGTACATATACATATTCCACCTGACACAAGAAATACAACAATTTCTGACGTCTGGAAATCACTCTACCTTACAGAACAGCCGACTGACAAACTGGGCACCAAATCTCGACAATTTTGTGGGTGAAAAACACTTTTTAATGGGGTACCGAATAACCCTTAGGGGGTCATACAGTGCCAAGGGGAATGGGAGGGAATCAGGTTCGATCCTTGAAAGACAGCAGGTCAAATTCCTTGGATTAAAAGCTCCTCACTCGAGTCAGGGAACATCTCTTGAGGCGACCTTATATTATACAAAAGTGAAACTTGAAACATAAGAAAACTGAACACTTAAAATAGGCATCTGAATGTCTGTAAAATAAAAGCCTTTACGGCTTAACTAATCACTTGCTTCTCCAACGATAAGACATGATACTGAATGTGATAGCGGTACTTATTAAAGTTTAGGTAATTACCGCATGTGAAACTCGTAAAACAACCTCAAGTGAGCTTATTAAGAACACGGTGACTAATACCTTCAGGTGTAGTAAAATATAGTGTCAGTCTTGGCGAGCTCCAGCAAAAATAATAAAAAAAGATATGCCGTAACTTCAAAATGGCTTATTTAACAAACTTCAACACAACCCTCCCGTTACTCCCTGTTTCCCCACAAAGGATTTTTTTTTTATTCGGTGGTGGTTAGCATCATGGGCGTTTGACATCTGTCAATGAGGATTGCCTCAGCAGTATCAACACTGAAGTGCATCATGGCCCAAACATTTAACAGGCAGGGGTCATCATACCATGTATGAGCTATGGTTTGATTCCAGTAGAACAATAACCAAGCGGGGGTAGTGTTGCTTCCTACCTTGATAAGCAACTGACCACCACATATACCACCCACAACATTATGCATGCAGTATCTCTCATCTGGAATCCCAGTCCTCATACCGCAATATTTAAACTAACAACCGTCGCCGAAACTGAGCAGCAACGAAGATATATAAGTTACCCTTGTAGAACACAAGCTCCTGGAACAAAACTACACAAGTTACCCTTATAGTACACCAATAGTTGGACTAATATAAGGGAAGACCTTGGACTTTATGAAGACGTATGCCAAATCCTTACAAATACGCACGTAGCCTTATAGTTCAATTTTAAACTCTTACAATGTCATAGTTTTATTTGCAAAATCAATATTGTCTTTTATGAGTACACAGAGCTAGTGTACTAGTGTACACTGGTGCGAAAACCAGTGTGGTTGCGACAGGATAACCTTGTTACTGACTTGTGGCAAGGTGCCTGTGATGCAACAGGCAGACTCACACACCATTACTTAAGACGCTGTGTGCAACCAGACGCCAGCGACTACTTACTTGAGGTAGTAAATTTGTCCCTGTGGAGTCCTGGCTTGCTCCCAGCCTTGGGGAAGACTACCCATGTCGTCGTTTAAGTCGTAACTCTGCTGCTTGAGGTGAGCTACCTGCTGCTGCTGCTGCTGGGCCACAGCGAAGGTCTGCTGCAGCGATGCTGGCGACGAGTGGTGGCGGAAGTGTTGATGGGCGGTGTTGGGGGATATGGCGCCCGACACCCTTATGCCGCCCACGCCACCCCCGCCGTAGGTGGAGTCCGCAGAGCCCTCCCTAGAGTGGGTGACGGTGGGCGCCGGGGACTGACGGTGGGCGGGGGGCGTGAAGAAAGATGCGGGCAGATTGCGCATCTTGAAGGGCTTCTGCAGGGGCACTTGGCTCGAGGGCTTCAACACTACCTCGAACAAGGCCTGCAGTTCGCTGTCACTGTCAGCACGCACATGGACAATTTGGCTGCCCCGTTGCTCCATAGGGAGCGAATCATCCTTGTTCGAGCTGGCCATCTTGGCTACTTAAGGTCAACACTCACACCGAGCCACACACCATAACACACACCTCCTCTCCCTCCGGCTGCTCCCCGTGTACTGAGAAACAGGAATGTGTGGCGTGCGCAGCCGACCTGCGCAGCCTGGTTGAAGCTCCAGCCACCAGGAGGCACCACCACACCACATGCTTATCTCCAATAATATTTACACTATAAAAGAAATTATTCTTATTATTATACTCTTCTTAAAATACACAGATTGATAGAGGGTTTTAAAATGAGTTACTTTGATTGCAAATAAAAATATAATATTTCTATAAATATTTAGAATTATTTATTGCAAGGATGTCCAGTTAGTCTCCCCACATAAACTACAAATATAACCTCATATCATATATAAAAATATTTTGTAATCTTTTTCGTCAGTCATCCTACGTTAAATCACCATCACTTAACACCTCTGCATGTCTACTCCTCAGGGATAAAATGAAATAATGTAAATTCTTTTAGATACATTAAAGATCAAGAATGTACATCAATCTATCAGACAAGTGATGGCACAAATCTATTACTGAGGATGACACTTAGTGTTCCAGGAGGCGGCATGAAGGTTGTAATATATGCATTAATGTTAGGATGTCTGCGGCACAGGTGCTGGAAGGGCCTTGATGTAGCTGCAGGGTTCTTGGTCCAAGGAATTACAGATACAGATACTTCCCCCCCTTCCTGAATGAAATCGTCACCTCCTATTCTCCAAGTGCAGTATGACTCTCACGGGTATAGTGCTTCCCGTAAAAGCAATAATGATGATGCACATAATGTTTGGATGGGAAGATGTCACAGGTGGGGTGCCTCAAGGTTCTGTACTTGCCTCAATATTTCTAATTTACATAAATGATTTACCGGCTACCTGGAGATACATGGAGAGGGTTTCGGGGGTCAACGCCCCCACGGCTCGGTCTGAGACCAGGCCTCATGGTGGATCAGAGTCTGGTCAACCAGGCTGTTACTACTGGCCGCACGCAAGTTGGCGTACGAACCACAGCCCGGTTGGTCAGGTACTGACTTTAGGTGTATGTCCAGTGCCTTTTTAAAGACAGCCAGGGGTCTATTGGTAATCCCCCTTATGTATGCTGGGAGGCAGTTGAACAGTCTTGGGCCCCAGACACTTATTGTGTTGTTATCCACTTCACTGGATCAATCTGTTCCACCAGTTGAGGAGAAAGACTTAGCTCCCACTGACTTCCCAGATGAAGTCAAGCATTTGTTGACTCTGTTGAACAAACGTCGTAAAGCCATTGCCTTACCAGGTGAGAAGATGGGTATAACGAACTTATTGTCCCATCGTATTCCACTTGAACCTGGTACTAGACCCATCTATATACCTGCGCCCAAAATTTCCCTCATTCACAAATTTTGCTGTGCAGAAGAATTGATCATCAAATGTTGATGATGGATTTATAGACCTACAATTCACCTTGAATGCGCCCTTGTCTAGTTGCCTAAGAAGGTTGGTACTTGGCCCATGATTGACTTAGGAAGTTAATGCGAAAACTTTTCCAGATCGTTTCCCACTTCCTGTACTGGTGATCTTTTACATAATATTAGATAACAAAGTCTTTTAACTCTGATTGTTACAGGGTTTGGCATGTATTATCACTTCCCCATACGGCATTTGGATTACGATCTTCCCTATTCAGTTCTCAGGCTCATGACTTATCTTTGAGGTCTCATAGGTAATGCACTTGGTGTATTAGATGACGTAATCGTCATGTCTAAAGACGTGGATTCCACTTGAAAAGACTTGATGTAGTATTGGTAAGATGAAGAGCCAATTTAAAAATAAAAAATTTAAATGTAATTTTTCAGATCAGAAGTTAAGTTTCTTGGTCCTAGTACTCTAGGGTTTTTAGACCGCAAGTAAGTATCTGCAAAAATTTAATTTTCCATTCACCCAAAACTGCTAAACCCGAAAGATCTTTGGGGGCTTAGCAGTTTTTATAGATCTTTTATTCCCAAAATTTTTTTCCATAGCTGCTCCTCTGATTGTTTTTATAAAAAGATGCTCCTTTGTTTGGACCTTCCTTTAAGAAAGAGCTTCCAAACCCTCAAAAGAAAAGAACATTCCCCAAAATTTAAAAATTTCCAGATTTTTCTAAGCCTTTCTATCTGACAACTGATGCTAGTTCTATTGGCATAGGTGCCGTACTAGCTCAGAAGACTGATGGCAAGTACAACGCAGTTGCATTTGCTAGTCGAGTCCTTATGAAGGCTGAACGTAATTAAACAGTAACTGAGCAAGAAGCTTTAGCAACAGTATGGTTTTTAAAGCACTTCTGAGACATTATTTATCAGTACTCTGTTCATGTCTTGACAGACCATGCTCCACTGATACCTTTATTCCAGAACAAACAACCTACTGTGGTGTGGTATGGCACATAGCAGCGTGTCAGCGTGCCTCGTTGTGCTCCGGGTTTTCTCGTGTTTACACGGTCGCTCTTACGTGCTAGAACTTTAATTTGTGCCATCAATCCTATACGATACATCCCTCTAGCGCCTGGAACCAATCTTGGGTGGAAAACGTTATATACTGGGTCAAAAAAGCAGAATTAGTGTGCACTACCTAGCAGAGTTTACTGCCAGAGGAGAATCATAGGCCTGTGTTCCGTGTGCAAAATAATAATAATAGAACTTTTCTTTGTCAGAGGAAAGAAAGTCTCCCTGATAACATTGTATATACATATGTATAGTGTATACTACAGTGGCTCCCTGTATATAAAATGATAAAGGCTAAAGTGTCATTTGAAAACAGGTGAATTTGTAAATGAAGTGATAAGCCTATAGAGGCAGGTGCCAGAAGTCGCCAGAATCTTACCACAGTGGTCAGCTGTTTTTAAAAATCTTCCTGGCCTGCTAGTGTACTCGCATATAATCTAGTGATACCAGTGAATAGCAGAATACAGTGTTGTAGTAGCAACTAACCAGTATTATAATGGTACTTAGTGGAGTTTGGGGTGACTTTCATTAGTTTCTTTTTTCTTGAAATACCAGACGTATACTGTGATTTTCATAAACTGTAGTTAAACCCCGGGGGTCGCAATATACACAACGAGAAAACAATTATTACTACAGAAAAAGCGTCCTTCCTCCAAAATTTCCACCAGTCAACTATAGTGATAATACAGCATTTATTGTGGTGGAGACAAAAAAAAAATAGAAAAGCTAGATACAGCGATTGATAAACAAGGGTTGAGGCTCGACCCTTCGTCATTGTAGGAGCTGCCAGAAATCACCGGTTCTTCAACACCCAAGTTATACTTTTGTATCAATCAAATCACATATTACTCGGGTAGATAATTTCAAGTAGATCCTTCATGTGTTAGCCCAAATCACCGACCAGTATGTTTTAAATAAGGGACCCACTGATCAGATCAGATCGACTGGTCCGAACCTCGACTGGTCAAACCCTTGATGCGTCCGAACCATGACCGGTTTCAAACGGTTGGTTGGGGACAATAAGCAGGACTGTTAAACGGATGGGGATGTAGGCGCCCTTATCAAAACACAAACAATAAATATAAATCAGGAAACGTACACGGTAAGCTGTCCAATATACAAGTTACAGTTAGAAATAGAAATACAAATAGCTAGAGTTTCATTTAAGGGGGTTATTAATAGAGTATTCAAGAGGTTGCTAGTGAATTACAGTACATCAACCATTCCAAATCAATATGAAGCTATGGATAGTTGCAGTCAATCAAAACAAAACGGGCTTCCAATGGATAAATTGTTCATTTTTGTGGAATTGGTGTCATGCCCCTTGTGCAGATATCCAAGAACTAGCTACAAGCAGTATTATAACAGGGAAGTGTTTTTCGGTATGCCAAATGAGATAAATCTGTGGACTAAATAACAAGGGTATTAAAGAGGATAAAATCAAAGCTGCTTCTTAGACAACCTGGAAGCTTTCTACAAACAGTGGGAACATAAAACGGCTGGGCTGAATGGTACTGCCCTTGATCTGGCCATGTAGTCAGAACTGTAAGGCTGGAGGTGTTGTCCTGGTAGTCAGTAAAATGTGGGGCTGATTAGTTGCTGTAGGTGCATGGGAGACAGTAATGGTTGAAGCTGGAAGGGGCTAGTCCTGCGGAGACAGTAATGGTGAAGCTGGAGGTGCTGTTGGGGAGACATTAATGGTGAAGCTGAAGATTTTGTCAGGTAGTCGGGAATTATACGAGGAAGGAATACATATAAATGACTCATAAGGGGACAGGGCGTAGTGGGGGAACCAAGTGTAGTCAAAGATAAGATACAACGAATATTGCAAACTCGAAATGCCACAGGAAATAGCAAAACGAGGGATCCATAGCAATAGTGAGGATATTTTACCAAAAACAACTGGTGGGGAAGCTCCATTGTTGGTGCTAGGGCGGATAGGAATAAGACAGGGAAACATGCACAACAGGGGAATGCGTCACAGAAACCCAAGGCAAACGGAGGGGAAAACCACGCCTGTGCACATTACTATGGACTTGGTATCTGCAGACATGGGAAATCTGGAAAAGAACAGAGGGGATGTGCAACTATGGACCACCCTAGAAAAATGCCCTGCCCATATGACAACAGGAAACATGCAAACTACCCTTCCTGTAAGCTTTTTTCACCTGATATGTGTACCTCTTCAGTACAGGAAAGACCGTGCTATAACTTCAATTGCCATGCCCACACCATCTTAAAGGGTACAAAAGAAACAAAAATCCCCCCAGGGCCCCCCCCCCCCCCCCCCCCCCCCCCCCCTCCCCGCACCCGGGACCCCTGGGAAGCCACAGCACTCAAGAGAGAGGTTTTTTAGTGCAGGAAGGAAAAAAAAAACTGGCGGAAATGCAGACTGTACACAAATCAGTCATTCCTGGAGTGGGAAACCACAGTTCGATGGCCTCCACTCCAAACCAACAGATACAGATCCTAATGCGGAAAAAAAATCCCCCCAGTACCAACAATACCACCGTCCGATGAACATTCTTCGTTGGAAATATACAGGGGTCTAAAGCAGCAACAAAACAACAATATACCTTTCATTCCGTGGACTGCTTGCAGAGGGGGGGGGGGGCAAAGGCATGTTCGCGG